CGGGAACATATCCATACACATACGAATATCTAAAATTGAAAGTAAAAATTAAATTAGCAAATAAATAAATGTCAATTATTTATTAAATTAAAATAAAATAATTTAAGAAATTAAATTAACAGTTAAATTGACAAATCATAAAATAAATATGGAAATCAACGGCTTACGCGTACGTACACGTCATTAATCGAGCTTAATTTCGCCACCCTATAGGCGAAACCACTTCATTCAGACTACAGATACGATCGAGCGCGTACCCATAATAATACATAATCTTGATAATACGCGAAGTATAATAATGTAAACACATCTACCCGGCGTGTTGACCGCCCAGCTAGGTTTACATAAAACAAAACGTAAAACATATCGAGCAAACATACCTCCTTGTGCGACTCAATGTAGTCGTCCACCACTTCCCACAGATTCAGTAGCGTAGCTTGCGCCATGTTGACGTTACGTTGTGGCGGCGCCGTCGATGATGTCGTCATATACACTCACGGGTAGGCCTACATAAGCGCTGTTGGCGACCTAGTACCATCCATTCTTCATTTGGGTGTTCCGAACACGGCGAATTAAGGCGCCACAATGCGGAGCGTGTACTTTACATAATCCTAGAAAATACCCCGAGTCCTCAAGCCGCTGGCAACTAGGCGGGTCCTATATAGTTAGCAGTCGCGGTGGGAGCCGAATATCCAGTGCACCAAAAGATGGCGGCGCTGCTTGTGGCACGAGTAAAATCTATTGCGGATGACCGCCTGCTGTATCCGCTACTGTACAGCAGTCACTCGATCGGTGCAAGGGCAAGAACCTTCGCCGCGAGCGTGCGCAGCGGTACCAACAAAGGCGGATACACGAACCATCTGACCATGCTCCACCCGCATCAGCCAGTCAGCGCCGCCAGCCACCAACGTAGATGCGTGCCGCTCCGCCGCCATATCGCCGCCTGCCGGTCGGCTCGGCACGCGCTCCCCGCGACGGTAGTTTGCGGAGGAGCCGTCTAGCGTTCTGCTAGCGCGCATAATGAGCAGGCGGTGCTGGTTTACAAGCAGGCAACATACAGCGCATCGCCAATCCATATCTGACACGCTGCTGCGGCGCCGTGGCTGCTAGCTGCCACTCTCCGCCCGCTTGCTGCCACTCTCCGCCCGCTTGCTAAGGCGTGCGTCGCACAAGCGAGCCACGTTTGCCATTGGAACCCCAGCATGAAAATAAAAATCCTTCTCTGGCTTGTCGTCTACGTTGCCACCCACCAAAGGTGCCGTTGACGGGGGGGTGCCACCACATCGACACAGGGCGCGTGCGTGCGTGGTTTTTAACTGCCCCACGCAGGTGAGTTTCCTTGGGGAGTGGTTTGCTTTTACGTGCACAATGATACGTTTCTCTGGTGAGCATAAGCAACCACACAGCAACGTAGCTCTCTCTACCAGTGTAGCCCCTTCCCTTCTGCTAGAGCAGGGCCGGCGGAGCCGGTCTGGCCAGTCCGGTCAATAATTTTTCCGATCATAATTTTTTTCAAGCACACATTTTCGTGATGCACAGGCCAGATCTACAATTATTGCAATCCCGAGCATATAATGATCTGAAATCACATCTAATTTATGTATACACGCATATATAATACTACATGACTATATAGTACCGGTAATAAACTGAAGAATGTTTATAAGAAGACATGTGTTGATCTCTTTAATTGCTGATACTGTACCAGAAACGATCGTCTGCTGCTCGGCCATTGTGAGCGCCATTGTTTATGTCCGTTCAATATAATTATTATTATATAATTATTTAATATAATTAGTTTCCGGATTAGTTTAATATAAACGAACGATCGTTTTCTGCATTGCGACGACTAAAAACATATCTGCGCTCTACAATGACGCAACTGCGTCTAAATAACGTACGTGATGCTGCTTAACGTGCACAAAGAGAAATTGGACAGTTTGGACTTGGAGTAAGCAGTTGATAGGTTTATAAAAAATCACGATCATCGCACAGGAATATTTGGTCCAGTTTCATAATTCCATATAGTTCGTTTCATATATTTTTCTCTCGTTAATAATTATCAGGTTACATGAAGATACTTTAAAGAACAAAGATTTGACATGTAAATTGGCAGATGCCGAAATAATTAGGCCTATACTGAAGTATAAATATATATTTGTTAGAGTTTTGAAAAGTATTTTTCAGCTCTAAAAAGGCATCTTGGTGTCTTAAATTTTTTAAATTTCTTGGGGGAGGACCCCCAAACCCCCCTTTGACGAGCTGCTCGACTCAGCCTTCGGCCAGCTGTTCGTCGACGTCTGTTATTGATGCTAAATAGATATATCACTGGATAATTTGAGATTGTCCTAACTCTTTACACGCGCACTTATTATTAGCGCGTGCTCATAGGGTCTATGTCCCCCAGGGTACTGCCGGAACGTACCCTGGGTACGGTCCGATATACCGGAACGTACCCTGGTAACTATCTGATATGGTTAGGGTTGGGGTTAGGGTTAGGGTCAGGGAGTAGGCGTAGGCGACTACCTAGACTCGTTAGTGGAGTAGGCGAGGTACGGTCCGGCATATTAGATAGTACCAGCAGAGCATATAAATCACGTTGATACTTGTATGAACATTACGTTGAGAAGATAGATTGATACGTCACGCAGTGGCGCGACCGGTCGGGCAACGGGGACGGGACGAAAGAGCTAATGATCGCACCACCTGGTGGCAAATCTTCAGTCAGTCAAGACAGTTGCTCTTCATGGACGAGCGGATGGCTCTAGATGATTTTAGGGTTAGTCTAAGGACTCCATGTCTTTGAGAGCTGCTGGCAAAGCAGAAGTGGAGGCATCGGCTTCGAGGTTACAAGTCTGCGAAATTCCTCGGGCGCCAACATTCGTCTCTGCATAATAATGAACTTAGATAAATGGAAAATAAAAGCATAACTCGTCAGGGGCGTGTACAGGATTTGTACCGGGGGAGGGGGGGGGGTCTAACCGTGACCCAAACTTGGGAGCACGCGAAGGGGGGTCCTTGTTCAAAAATTTTTGAAATTAGGACCACCTTAGATGCGTTTTCTGCGCGCAGCAAGGGGGGGGGTCCGGACCCCCTGGACCCCCTCCCCTGTACACACCCCTGCGCGTGTGCCACTTGGTTTATCGATCGCCCAGCGATTTTTACGTAATTTTGCTTATACATGTGCTCATGTGTCATAGAATTCGTAGTCTGTACAACGGCACCCGATCTACCCGTTATACGTAGCCCTATAACTTAGATAGCATAGATATAGTCTATATATCCTGTAAAGCATCCGTAGCCGCCTGTGCCACCACATGTGTTTCTATTTCTTTTGAGGAACCATTCGGCGCCAATACGTTGCCTCTAGGGCCCCCTAGATGTGCGTAAATGCGATCGTGTAATGAATGCGTACACGCACTCGTGTCGAGATAGCGTCTCTTTGACTGCCTCGACGTGTTATCTTTGGCCCCCGGCTGCCTACCTACTGGCTACATCATCACTACATGCGGGCGGACAACAGTAACCTTATCGTGAACTGCCGCCAATGGAGCGTGGACCGTGGCGGTCAGGTGCCTGTCTCACGTCTATCCACGTGATGCGAATGAGTAATGCCGATCATGCGCCTGCAAATAGCTACCGCTGCTCAGCCGATTACGCGCAGCGTGACGTCATGTAAAGCTACCGGGCGTCTTTACGCAGCAGCTACGGGCGCGATCCTGTGCGTACGAGAAAAGCAGTGCTACGGGTGTTTCCCTGCCGCCATAGCTATCGTGCTGATGGCGTGAGTAATCAACGTGAACTGCGTCATTTTCTCTCGTCGCTACGATTCTGTTCCGGAAGTGACCTACATACATGTGGGGCCATGTACTTTCAAAGAACAAAGAGCGAGGCAGATGGCGAAACAGTTGGTGATGCGCGGTACACAGTCGCAGGAATATTATCATCAATGGCAAACGGTGCATCGACTGCCAACCCTGTCAGACCAAACAGTCTTGCTATATCGTCGACATCAGCTACGACACTATCACATGACGCGGTAGGTAGGCTGACCGTGACATGCCACTTTTACTAGCTCTACTCTAGTACTATAGCCGCATGTAAGCGGGCTACATACTAGAGCTACTAGAGCGGCCCTGTACTAGAGCTACTTTTACTATGTTACTGCTACTCGTAGGCCCTAGTATTATTTACTTAGTAGAATATTGCCATTAGACCTTTGTAATTCACTAACTGATCGTTGTTTGTGTTGACATAGGACTGTATTATGTATGTGTTGTCTAGACTGTATGCGCGTACGCGTGTGTAGATACTGTACCTCGACACAAATTAGATAGGTTAATAATACCTACAGAGTGCCCGGCAGCCGGCATAGGCCCTATATTACTGGCGGCTGCCGGGCACGGTCTTCGATTTCCTAAATGCCCGGTAGTTTTTAATTTTCAGCGTTATCTCAAGTAAACAAGGGTTAGGGTTAGGAACTGCCAGGCATTTACGAAATCGAAGACCGTGCCCGGCTGCCGGGCTTATAGGATCATATAGCCACAGCGTAAAATGAATATGGCAAATATCTCCCGTTTGTCTGTCTATTCGCGCGTTGTGTGTGAGGTAATATACCATTTAGGTATAGTATTAGTAGTTTAGAATCGGGGTAGGGTTATATCAGAGGGCTACAAGTTGTGTAGCTCCAAGAAACGGTGTTGCTAGGGTTATAATACCTAGATACGTATATTGACGTCAGTCACACAGCCTGGTCGGGTTACAAGTTGTGGTGTGATAACGATATGGAAAGTGCAAGTGTACGCCACGTAGTAAATGCCACGGTCAATAGACAATAGACGTGTTGTATGATATTGTGATCTTTTTTGAGTTACTGAACTACAAATGGCAACATCTATAGTTCATACAAATTAGAAATATGTATTAGAATTTTCATCGAAACGCAGGAGCTTTTTCTACTCGCGGAGTTGATCTGTCTATTTAATCAGCTTTCTATTTCTCTGCCTTCGATATAATCCCTATGAAATTGCTGTCTAATTATTATGAAGTTATCCAGTTAAGAGGATAGAGAATACAGTACACCAAACATTGGATTCACGTGCAACCTGCCACACATACAATGATACATCTATATATATCCTGCCATAAAAATTTATCAGCTTTCTCGTGATTGGGCAATACCTGAACGGTATTGCACCAGATACCTGACACACTGGCACTATGGGTTGACCGTTGTGGAATATCAACGCCAAGCTGTTGGATATTGAGAAGTAAATGTGACGGCATTCACAATTTGAAAAAAGGACAGATTTCTTTTATTACATGTGTAAACAGTTTAAAATCTTGTGAAAGATATCTTATTCCATTTGCTGGTATATTGATGTAGTCTCAGCACAATATAAAAGACAATGAACATCAAATACAAAAATGTAAGATTCCCTCCTTAGAAGAAGCCTGAAGGTGTTCTTGATACAAGGGATAGGCATTGATATAGGAAACATAGTAGGCCTTATAACTCTGGATATACAGAAATTTACATTTAAAGTCAATCATGTTTACAGGTCTATATTAAAAATGATAGGAAAGTGATTCTTGTATTCGTGATTGCTAGATCACAGAAGTGAGCTAATTAATGTTTAATACCTATAAGGTAAGCTTTGCGGTAAGGTTAAAGGGATTGTCACATAGAAATAACACCCGTCATCGGTATCATTTTCAGTCAACCATCCCCCTGGTCTGTGGCGTGACGACGGTGACCACGCCAACGTTAACGCCGACGACGGTGGCCAATATTGAGCAGACGTTCCTGGAGCTTACATCTGTGCCAGTGACGACGACTGCACAGCATGCTGCAAATCAGGTACACCTCTAGTAATAAATGTACTGCAGTGGTACATCTTTGTTGAGAGAAATGGCATTGCAACAACTGTTCTAGGGACTAAAGGTGACGCTATGAGGAGAAGCGTCTGCTCTCGAAATGAAAGAAATACTAAGACAAGTTTTCTAAAGACGAATTGTGACATGGAGCGACATGTTGTAAAGAATGATGTACCGGTAGCGCTGACGATAGAAATGTTCTAGTGATTAACCATAATACCAGTATAAACTATAAGGTGCATGTGTTTTAAAGGTTAACAATAAGTGACAACACTAATAAGTACTACTAATAAGATGACAATAAGTGACAACACACTGATTGTTTTTGAGACTAATTGTGATAGTTAGAGATGTTTTCTAGATACTAACCACAACATTGAGAGAGGCGTGCCAGAGAGCAATGTTACACTAATAGAATTGTATCTGTGACTAATCGCCAATAGTCACACTAAGAAAAGCGTTCTAGACGCCAACAGTGACATATTATAGGCAGCTCTGTGTGAACGTTCTGGGGCATCACACTATTCTGTACTCTGAGCTAGCAATGCGATTCGTGGCAACTACCTCACATACCTGTTATCTCAGTGAAACGCTGAGCATACACTTGCAAAGAAGCTGTAGCTTCCTCGTGGAACGTAGAAGGAATTGCTTAACAACGGAACGGAAGGCTCGCGGCTTCTCTAACGTAGACGCGTGTCGACGATTTGTGCGCAGGCTGGGTTCGTGCCGCCGATATATGACAACACGACATCAAGCGACATGTCGCGTGAGTCATTTCACTCGGTGGAAGACGACGCCATCTACTGGCAGCACGCGCCGGCGCAGCTTGGCATTCCGGACATCATGATCGGTCGGCCAGCAGATGTGAGCACGATAAGCACAATGGGGACGATACCAATGCCGGCCGTCTCACGCAAAACTGGCGGCCGCCGAATCAAGCAAGAAAACGTGAGTCGGTGTTCCACAATTGTTCTTCTTCCAAATCAGGATGACGTCTCGCTGCGTACTCCAGGGGTCGAAATTCGCAAAAAAAACACTTGCCGCATGTTAGGTTAAACAATTACTTGCGCCAAGAGATTTTTACTTCCACCTACCTCTGTTGCTCTCCACACTGGCAGTACCCCTTCCCTTCCTCCCTGTTTTGGTTTATGATTTATTCTATGTCTTCTGTGTTTTCCTGCTCTGATTCAGAGTCAGTGTGACTGTCATCTTGTCAAACTGACAGAAATCAAAATAAAATTGGTCTGACTTCTACATACGTAAGTAGCTGGCATATTGTTGACTTGCGGCAGCCGCAAGTTGCTACAAAACATCGTTTGCGTCAGGTGAAAAACACTTGTGTTGCGCAATCACTATATATAGCGAATTTCGACCCCTGATACTCGCTCGAAAATAGCATTGTGTGGCGATATAGCGTGCGTGAGCTGCAATTAGCTGCTTATCTGGGGTTTTTTTTTAGTCAGATCTCTCACTAAACTCCAATGTGGTACATGTAATTGTTTTAGCTCACACCAGAAGAAGAAGAGAGGAAACGTGTTCGACGAGAGAGGAATAAACTCGCAGCTGCAAAGTGTCGGAAACGAAGACTGGACCATACAAACACTCTTATGCAGGTTTTTATGCTATAATTTTTGATTCTTTAAGCCAACTATGCATGTCATCCATCGCAAGCTCGAATTTTGTCTAAAATATGTCCTGGGTTCTGGTAATAAATTATTTTGATTGAAGATTTTAATGTTTACTTTAAGTGAGTTTCTTCATTAAGTAGCTAAGGGTCTTTATTCACTGGGGACTGAAACCAATACAAGATATTGTGGAATAGGACTGTTGGGGTTCAAGTTACTCTTGAGATCACAAGGTCAGGGTGAGCATACTAACTGTATGAAAATGATTATAAATAATGTACAATAATACTTATGTGCTCTTCAATCACTCTAATTGCTCTCAATGTAATTGCTTGACCTTGCAGGAAACGGAGAAGCTGGAGGATGAGAAGAGTCAGATAGAGGAGGAGATACATGAGCTTCAGAGTCAGAAGGAACAGCTGGAGTTCATTTTGCGGGCACACATGCCGATATGCAAGCGGCGTAACACGGGCGATACCTCCAAGCCATTCACAGACATCTCTCAGTTAAGGGTGAGTTGTCATGTAAAGCTCAAGAAGCTCATTCAATGCTAAAATTTCAATATGCATTGTGTTATCTCCTCAAAGGAGGATTATATGCAGTATTCTACCAATAGGTGGCGCTACTAGCTATCATAGGCGTGGAAGCTGTGGTAACATTGAATTGCACCAAGAATAGATAATATAACATGTTATGTTATATTATCTACTTTTGATTGCACCCATATTCCCAAACAAGGTCATCATTAACTTCTCTACACTTCTTTAAAGCGGTGCATTGTAGAGAAAGCAGTCGTTACTTTCCGCGACGACTCCTATTCGCTAACAATTAATTACCACCGTATGTCGCCTCGACAGGTTGCGACAACTCACGCGCACCCGACGTCGGTCGTCGTCACGTCCGTCGTTACGCAGCAGCCTGAGAAGCCAGCCACCAGCACGTCGCCAACGACGACGTCCTCCAGCGTGTTTAAGCTGGGTGACGAGGCGCTCACGAGCGGTGCGAGACTGACACCGGTGATAGTGGCTCCAGCAGGGGCATACGATTCCAAACGGAAGGACGACTCGCAGCGTGATCTCAGCGACGACGTAAAGTCGTCGGCAAGTTTGGTGAAACTGTGAAGGCGTCGACGGTGGCCGCGACTCGTCGCCGCGCTAGAAGGACCACGTACCACATTCCCCCCGCGCTGTGAGCGGCTGACCACACTGGCCAGCTGACCGCGCTGTGGCCAGCTGACCGCGCTGTGAGCGGCTGACCACACTGGCCAGCTGACCGCGCTGTCGGGCTACCACACTGTGGCCGGCTGACCGTGCTGTGAGCGGCTGACTGCACTTTGGCCGGCTGACCGCGCTGTGGCCGGCTGACCACACTGTGGCTGGCTGACCGCGCTGTGGTCGGCTGACCGCGCTGTGGCCGGCTGACCGCACTGTGGCCGGCTGACCGCACTGTGGCCGCTGACTGCCGCTGTGGCCGGGGGGTCTGACGCAGTGCTGGTGACGCGGCTCGACTGACTTGTGGCCGGCTCGACGCGCGCTGTGACCGGGGGCCTGGCACCGGTCTCGTGAGGGGTTGACTGCACTTGGCCCGCCTGAACCCCTGCGCTGGGGCCGCCGTGTGGCCGCGCTGACCGCGCTGTGGCCGGCTGACCGCGCTGTGAGCGGCTGACCGTGCTGTGACCGGCTGCTCACACTGTGAGCAGCTGACCGCGCTGTGACCGGCTGCTCACACTGTGAGCAGCTGACCGCGCTGTGACCGGCTGCTCACACTGTGAGCAGCTGACCGCGCTGTGGCCGGCTGACCACACTGTGAGCGGCTGCCCCGACCGCGCTGTGAGCGGCTGACCGCGCTGTGGCCGGCTGACCATGCTGTGAGTGGCTGACCACACTGTGACCCCGGTGTCGCACTCGTTTCGCTACGCGAGAGTCGCCAAGACCACTTCGGAATAATTCTTGCGCGTGTCGGTGCATGCCTCTGCTACAGGCATGGAATCAGATCTCTGCAAAGCTTGTGTAGGAAATCGGATGGATAACTGAATGAGAAAGAGCCAATTCTAATGACAATGTGCAATCTGTTAATGTATGTCACTAAATGTTTGCAGTAGATGTTCTGCAAAGTCATCCAATGTCTAGTGTGATGTCGTTGTGTGGGCAAGTATAGTCATTGTTTCATATATTACAGAGCTATTGCTTTCGATAATAGTTAATAATTCTCACATCAAGTTTCAGAGAATTTATCATCAGGTTATTGTTACCCACTACCGAGTGTAGTTGAACTAAAAGATTTATCGCAACCATGAGGCCGTATATTGCATGTGTTTATATTTTGAGATTTTAAGAATATCCATTGTCTATAATGACTGATCTTGATGTGTTGGGTTGTCATGTCAAACAAGTGAAGAAAGCACATGCCCTACAAAGATTTGTAGCAAGATTTATTGTCACTGTGGGGAGGCTTATTTATTGTTGGCAAATTTTTGTATTTGAATTCGCAGGAACTCACAAGACATCGATGTTTGTTTCTGTGAGGAGAGGGTTATGACAGCCTTCATAAAGTCCTGTGTTTTCATGTTTTCACAGACAGTAGCAAGAAACTTAGGCACTTGGAAACAATATTTCATGTAAGCATATAATAAGCATATGTTTTAAAATATAGTAGATATATTTCACAACTGCAGTTGCTAAAACAGTAAGAAGACATCTATGTTATATCACCTCGTGCGTTTGATATGTATTCATGGCTTTCAATCGTGTGACGAGTCTAGATATATAGAGAGAAGACACAGCTGCAGTGTGTCTAGCACGAGTCTATACAAATGATGATGCAATCACAGTAATCACGCGTGTAATCAAAATAAATATCGTTCGTTTATTATTAACACTGCAGTTATTATATCTTTTTTTATTAAACCTATTTGGTATATATGATCTACTATTTTTACATATCATTGCAAAGGGCCAAGCAGACTGTGATGGCTCACAAAACTTGATGCAAGTTACATAGTTACGTAGTGTTTATTTAGTATTATATATGTATATAGTGTATTTAGTAGTATATATGTATTTGTAGACTTTGTTTTAAACTACTGCAGTAAACATGACGTGGATGAAGTGTGTACAAGAGTTGTGATAGAAGCAGTGATTATGCTGTCATGTTAGATTGCGTCATTATTTTAAAGGTAAGCGCTCAACATAAACGTTAACTACGAAAAAATTGCGTGAAGTAGTCTATAGTTCAATATTTATTCCTCTATTGCGGTTCCTTTTCGAGTTAGCACCAGTGCTGCTTTTATAGTTTGATTGGTGGTTCCTACGGTTGCGGTTAGATGGCATTACTACATGCAGTGTAAACACTTAACACTCGTTATAAAGCATTCGGAATTTCTTCTAGTTAACTTTAATATTGATAACACGTACATGATCGTAGATTTAAAAACCCCGATTTGAACATAAAAACGTTTTTCGTGCAGTTGAGGGCAGGAAGCATTTCTTTTTGGCAAATAAGTGGAACCCATTAAAATTATTGTTTAACTCAAGATAACAACAAACTTCAAAACAATTACGGTACGCAGCTTTTCTTGTGCACGCGACAATAAGAGGCACACACGCACCCACGCGCGCGTGCACACACACACCCACAACACAGTGCAGTTTGCGTAGACATAAGAATTTCTGTATGATTGTAGAACCACCTTCGTTACCATAAACATCGAGCTGCTAATTCAAATGTGTAACCACCGGCGAGGGGAGATCATACATGCATGTAAGCAAGATGTACCGTAAGCGTCATCAGTTATTATTATAATTATATAAATAAATAAACAAATACATATATATTATTATATATATTATGTATATCAAGAGTGATGTAAAAAATACAGAACACGCGTTTATAACTTGCATGACTGGGCTTGATTGACAATGTGATTATACTGTCATGGCGAGTGCAGCAAATGATATCTATTCATCAACCACGATGAATTTGATCGAAGAGCTCACGCCTCACCGAGCTGTATATAATAACAAGAGCTAATAATACCTTTATGGTTATGAAACAACAGCGTATGCAGATACTAGCCACTAAGCTGTACATATGTATTATACAGCTTAGTGGCTAGTACATGCATATGCATACGCTGTTGTTTCAAACCCATAGAGGGCGCCTCGGTGCAGACGCCCTTTCATTGAGCTATATATATAATAATAATAATAATAATAATATATAATAACATTGTTGTTATATAAAGCTCAGTGCATGAGCTCTTCGAAGAAATTCATCGTGGATAAATAGATGATATGCTGCACTCGCCATGGCCGCCGGGAAGTTAGCATTAATGTTGAGTGGAGTGTGAATAGGTTGATGAAGTGAAGTGAATGTGGTTGTTGCCCGCTGATATCCTCGTGCGTTATAATAATCGTGATGCTTATATAATAGCTGTGATATGAATCAATTTAGCAATTAAGGCACTACAGAGTCAATCGCTACATAGAGCTATTTGTAGATCATATTTGTCATTGCACGTATCAGCAACTCTTTCTTTAGAATAATTAAATGAAGTCTCTCATACGTTTACAGTTATAAGCAAGCTATCAGAACACATCGGAATTTCGTCTATCGTATACGAAGTAAGTGTGGCGTAATTGCTGTGATACGGCTACGAGTAAGTAGAAATGTTTTAGCTTTTTCGTGCAGGCGTGTGCGATATTTTGAAAAAGTGAAAACCAACGTGTGCAATGGGATTTGCAGCATTTTTTCGTCTCTGCGTCCCGTCGCGTTTTTAGATGTGGAAAAAGCCTTTTAGTGTATTTTATTTACCACTCTCACGTATTTAGAATGTGTTTCGTTGCGAGCATTTGAGATTCACCGATGTGCATATAGTGAATTTCATTGTATGGGCATGTAAATGACATACAGATCACACCTAATCGTATGGTTTTCATTTATAATTATATATATTCGCTTTCATTTATTATCTTCTATTGTTCTTACTTCTACACGTGATTGCATAGTAAACTATCTCACATACATTGTCTTATTGCTATCAAGCAATGTAAACTTCTATATGATAATAGATGTTTTTATTTTACAACACGCAGGCACGCACGCACACGCACGCGCACGCACACACACACGCACTCCAATGACTTTGGACATTGACATGTGGTTTTGTGCTTTAATTATATTTCCTCGCCTATATGGTGTATATATACTTGCCACATAATTCACATACTTTAGTTGTGATTATGGATTCCTGCTCGTGTGATATACAGGTTATTTGTAAAGGCAAACCCACAACCCGCTAGCTAGCCAATCGCGTGGTTGTTTCCCTCCAGGTGCGCGGCATGCACGCAGGTAAATGCAGACGCGCATGCGCAACGCGGATTCAGCGCGAGTAATGTCTAAAAATAGCCATGACATCAGGATGACATCACGCTCGCGCAGTCCGCAGGCGCGGCAAAATAGTTTTCGCGCAATTGTGCGATCGATGCCTATCTGTTGAGGAGGTTGTCACAGGCAACCGCGTCTCCGAGTCCTTCCTAGGCGGCACATGAAACCGGCACGGGAAATTCGAGGTAGGCGATATGTTAGACGTAATAGTATTGTTATTGTTGTATAAACGTTATCTAGCGTTGCGTTATACGAGCAAATAGCAGGGTTTCTGCATGATTTATAGTAAACGTAAAAGTTGCACCGTAGTCGGAGACACAGATATGTATAAACGGTGATATTTGATTACTGCTTTACTCTGGAATCTTTAGCGTGCTTTAAAGTAGCGTGTTTCTATTGAGGTTTAATCTTGCAGACTACAGCAGAAGGTGCAGTGCACTTAGAAGGGCCCAAGGATAGAGAACATGGGTCCCAATAAAACCAATGTGCCGAAACATAACCCTAACCCTAATTCTAACCCTAACCCTAATCCTAACCCTAACCCTAACCCTAACCCTAACCATAACCCTAACCTATTATATTGATATAATATTATATTTATATTGATGTAAATGACATTGGTTTTATTGGGACCCATGTTCTCTATCATTGAACCCTTAGAAGTATGTTTCGATGTTGTAAAATGATATACTTGCACTCGTTTATCCGTTGCGACCTTCTCAACGTGTGGGTTTAGTTGTAGACGGCGGAAACGGGAGAAGAATCGTATCGAAATTAGAGTTTAGAAGGGAAGAAATTAGAATGTCTAGGTATAGTAAAGATTGTATTTTAGTAAGACGATGTCATTGTGTTCTTGTGCGTGATAACATACCTATCAATGATAGAGTCAACGTGAATCAGTTTGGTTTAGAATTTCACTTACTTTACGATCGTTTAGTTGAAGCACAGCAAAATAGGCATTCTTACCCCATATGTTTAAAGGAAATAAACTCATTTTACTTTTTCATCGCATTTCTAATTTCGAGGAGGTATGTCAACGATGGCCGTTTTGGTCGAAAAATGTCAAATATGCACTTTAGACGCAGTTTTTATGTTAGTTCTGGGGGATTTCGTGTTTTTTCTCGAGGGAGCGTTTATTTGGTTTTGGCGCCCATCGGCAAATCTTATTTGCAGCGTTTGTCTTTGAATATTTCGACGGACGAACAAATAATAAGAAAAAAACACCGGTATGTGCTTCCATTCCGAAGATTCTAGAAACCGAGGCAAATGTAAATGCTGGCCCCTCTGTAGCCGCTGTCCTCTTCTCTCTACGCGATGACTGTCTTGGTTTGTTTGGCTCTGTTTGGGTCGTGCGGTATGCTTGGTGATGCGGTGGTAGACTGCCGACACACAGCGCGCGCGTACGTGTGCATCACAGCGACTAGCGGAATCGATTCCAACGCACGCGTGCATTCATTATGGTCGGGATTTCGCAAAGGTGAGTAGCAACTCGTGTTTGGCCGGAGGCCGCGAGCGGAGTATAGACTCGCACCTCGCGAGTTCTCTCGCAGCAGATACTGCGGCAGGTGGTCCTTATATGAATATATGAATCGAAGTATGCGCCAGAAGTCCGTAGATGCAAATTTTAGAGGACTCAGAATTAAGTGTTCAGTTATATCGTGCGTCGCACGAGCCGAGAGTGATCCGGGGGCGACAGAAGGTGAAACGGACAGGTATAATCCATCCACAATATAAGTCCATTAATTGTACGATCAATTAAACCTCATGTAGCCATTATTTTAGTTGTGCGAGTGCGCGCGCGTTTATGTGCGTGCGTGCGTGCGTGAATGCACGCGCGTGTGTGTTTGTGCAGTCTATGCGCTTACATAAAGAGTTTTTTTTGCACTCTAAACACTATTCCAATTGAATTTTAGTCACCTATCAATATATAGGCCCTACTTCATTTCTTGTGATTATTCACATTCGAATAGCTTGCAGTGAAACTCGCCGGCATTTAACCGATGTCGTATTTCCACTGGACGGTACTTCCATGGTACTCTAACGCCTCCAGGGAAGAACATGATTTGGACTTTACTTTGTTAGTTTGTGCGTCGGCTTAGCATATCGGCGCATATTATTCTCCCCTTGCCTCCTCACCAATGCATGTGATGGGAATAGCGCAGAGGTGTCTCGTTATAGGGTTAGAATTTCTGAATCTGGTGTTGACTTTATTATCTCGCCGAAGTCCTAAGCCATAGTAATCACAGATATATCTCCCCATCGTTGCCTGTGTATTGATGAACGGTACTCGCGGCACAAATTAGTCATCGTCCACGATATTCTATCTCGTTTCGAAGGAAATTAAAGCATGAATTTAGTGGAGTCGCAGTGCGAGTTTCCTTGCCGATATGTAAAAGAACGGACTCAACCCCCTGATAAAATTACACTTTTTTAATTCGGAGGATTGATCTAGCTGTGTTGATGCCCACTGCATGATAGCTGAATTTCTCACGCCTCGTATAGGGAAAACGGCCGCATTTTAAATACCACACGCGTGCTTTCATTATAACAAATATACAAAACAGAAACTAGTGCAAAAACGTAATAGGAATTAATTCAGACGCCCACCACATGCGTGTGTACGGGCGCTTTATGTACGGACGATTACTGTAGTATCTACATGCACATTCACATACACATAGACACATTTAAACACACACATATACATTTACATTTATTTGTCCATCAATATATTACTATTTCATTATTAACTATAGGTGAATGTAGTAGATAAGTGTGTAGGCCTACAGTAGTGTATTTGATACGTGGGTGTAGTTTATGCGGTCACGCAGGATTTATTCATATATCTGTTATACAAACATACAGGTAAACAACGACGGTTCGAGTACTAGATATAGCCACCTGGCATTTAGTTTGATCATAAGTGTGTATTTAATACGGAGCTATGCAATCGCAGAGTCTTAATTGGCCCCAGAGAAAAAAGAAAAGAGAAAGTCGTGGCACCAAATGCAAGAATATGGGAGATGCGCGCGAGTGAAAACGAGAGGGAAATAGATAAGCTGAAGCAGAAGGAAACATAGAGAGAGTGACACAGGGGGAGAGAGGTGGACACACGCACACGCACGCACACACACACACACGCACGCACACACACACACACACACACACACACACACACACACACACACACACACACAGCACCGCGCGCCGCGCGCGCAGCATGCACGCACGCACGCACGCACGCACGCACGCACGCACGCACGCACGCACGCACGCACGCACGCACGCACACATAAATAAATAAATAAATAAATAAATATATATATAGAGAGAGAGAGAGAGGGGGGGGGGCAGAAGAGTTGAAGGAAGAGAAAGAGTGGAAAGGAAAAGTGGGTAAAAACAGAAATAGTGTGTAAAGGGGGTAGACGGTTGCTCGCAGGGAGATACAGAGAGAGTAGAAAGACAGAGAGAGAGAGAGAGAGAGAGAGAGAGAGAGAGAGAGGGAGAGAGAGAGAGGGCGAGAGGGAGAGAGGTGTTGAGGAAGAGAGGAGGAGGGCTAGAGGGGGGATAGAGGGAGTGAAGAGCAGATTCTGGAGTAGAGAGAGGGAGAGAGAGGGGAGAGCGGGGCGGATGGAAAGAGGGCGGAAGGAAGGAAAGAAGGGAGAGAGAGAGAGAGAGAGGAAGCGAGATGAACGCAACAGAAAGATAAGCTCAATAGAACCGCGCGGGGAGTAAATAATCAGTAGCGTTACGCAATATACCAATCATACCAAATAATACCAATCATAAAAGCGCGCTATAGCTCGCACCGGCCATAAGACGCGGGCGCTCACACCATCCGGTGTATAGATGTATGTTGCAGCCCAGAATGCTCGCTGTGCTTGTAACGCGACGCCACGCGTGAGACGTGGCTAAATTACCCCGATTCCGGGCGGCATCATACTTAAACGTTAGCGTTGGAAAGAAGGTGGGGGGCGTGCATGCGAAAACAGGAAACATATTCTATATAGGCGTACAAAGATATTGTTATAGGTCTAAATGAAGATAATCTAGATGTCGCGATCAGTAATGTATTTGCGTAATAATTGCAGTTGATTGATCCAGTTTCGTTTTGAAGAGTTTACACATGTTTCATTGATGTTATTAGAATGCAAAAGTAATAAGTGTAGATTTCGTTTCGCGAGTGCTTAAGGGTAGAGATATCACATATTTGAACATCAACAGATCGCCTCCGTCTCATTGTGTTAGACGTAATGTCATTACGGAGGTTTTGCTTCATCTTTAATGAGGATTTTCTGTGAGTTTATGAGCGAACCCTCCACGTATACCACTAGAGTGCTATACGCGCTAACCACATGTCAGCTGCGTACCCAAGCCCAGCCTCGTAAAGCGGCATCAGCTCAGCTCGGCTACGAGTGATCCCCTCCTCCCAGGGCAGACTATTGATCTTCTAAAATGGGCCGATTTTCTCCTACTTAGCTTACACATGTGTTTGCCCACACGATGAGTTACTTTGCTATGACTCATGCGGCTTCCGCTGCCGTGTGGAGGTTAGGTGAACTTTTTGTTTGCATGCAGTCAGTGCTTGTCGCGTGGGCCGATTCAACCAATCGCAAAGTTCACGCTCTTTCATTTACTTACGAGCTAAGCACATCATCATAGAAAACGTATTGCCGACGAGCCTAATTTGTACGAGAATTATTCGTACAACTCGACATGACGTGTTTGTAAGCTGCTGTTTTTAAGCTGCGTTTACACTATCGATTTTTGTCAGCAAATCGTACCGATTTCAAGTGCATTCCAACTAATCGGCTGAAATTCGATTGTGTAAGTCGAGAGAGAGTCGATCGAGAGAGTTCGATCGAGAGAGTTCGATCGAGAGTCGGAGTCGGACTCAAGTCGCCGAGTTGGAGAAATAGAACGTGTTCTATTTTGCACGACTCGGACGATTTGCTGACAAAAATCTATAGTGTAAAAGAAAACGTGAAACGTGTTGTACGCTTATTATATTATTGGACTATTTACGAACATCCTCCTACACAAAGAAATATGCGCAAACGCACGCACGCACGCACGCACGCACGTACACACAGGCACACACGCACGCACGCACGCACGCACGCGTACATACGCACGCACACACACGCACCACACCCACACGCGCGGACATACGTACACACACATGCACACGCACACGCACACGCACACGCACATACAACACAAACACGCACATACAACACAAACACGCACACGCACGCGCAGACGCACGCACACACTACCACCTGGAGTACAATCTATCATTTAACATAGTATCAGGAGTGAATAATAATAGATTATTATTAGATCTATATTCATAGATAGATCTATTATTATTCTCTCCTGATAGTATCATCATAATGCAATAATATGTATTATGAGCTCTTGATATTATTACGCTTTCTGTCAGAATTATGCGCTTTCTGTGCATATTTCCGCGTATATATACGTATCCACCGATTGCGAATCGCCCGGGGATCGAGCAGTTATTTATATAAGCACAGTAGTATAAAGTCTTGCATAAATCTTTTCCTGGTAAATAGTTCCTGGTACCGCATAAATCATTTGTATATGCTAATAACATAGCTACATAGTTAGGGTGTACAATACTATAGGTTCATATATGGGATACATATTATGGTTTTCGGAAATATTGTCTGGGAATAGATGCGTTGTATAGGCCGCAAAGCACGGTAGATATATCTATGATGTCGCCTATGCTCTAGTACACCCAAACAGGATGGTGTCTAGGCATCTCAAAGCTGGGTTCCGGAAACGCCAGCCAATAGAAATGCTGCGAGGACGCAGAATGGGAATTTCCAACCTGCCCGTGCGTGGCACGGATATGCGGGCGGATGGCGTGGTTAAACAATAATTTTTTCTTCATATTATATGATATGCAAGCTGATTGATAGAACTATGCTCATTACCGTAGCAGTCAGCTGAGCGCAGTTCACATGATAGGTGTTTCTTGTTAGGTGTGAAAATCAACAGCTAATGGGCTTCGAGGGACATTTAACGAGTTCGAACGAGATACACACACGCACGCACGCACGCACGCACGCACGCACGCACGCACGCACGCACACACACATACACACACGCACACACACACACGCGCGCGCACACACACACACACACACACACACACACACACACACACGCGCGCCCGCGCTGCACGCACACACACACACACACACACACACACACACACACACACACACACACATATATATATATATATGTATATATATATATCGTTGGTGCATGTTGCAAGTAAACATCCAAAAATCCATCTATAATGCTGCCATGTTTGGGTGTCGCGTGCGCTCACCGGTATTGTCACCATTTCAGACAAGTGCGCCCGTTTGACGCGGTCGTAACCTCGTCCATGATGATGCAAAATGTCGCCGCCGAGCTTGACTGGCATAGTCAACACCTGTACGAACACGCAGCCGACCCGATCGGTGCCAGCTACTTCTCTGCCTATGTGTCACCCGAGGCTTACGTGCATCCACTGGGACATATTCAGCACACGAGCATGCAGCAGACAGCAACGCCGTCACCAGTGCCGCTATGCGGTCAGGCGACATGCGATCGCGGTAGCGGTGCAACCGATCCGCCGACGGAGTCACGCAGCGTCTACGACGACACTCTACTCTCCGGCTACTATCGGGAGTCATCCGAGTTTTCCTCGGAGGCACCGTATTCCGCGCACGCTCCAAATGTCGATAAGGCCCCGTACTGCAACTACGGCGTAGACACCAGCGACGGCGGCGGCAACCTGTCACCGCATTCGCAGCGCACCTTAGCGTCACCGCTGTCGTACAACGCGTCGGCGGGTGAATCGGCGTGGAATTACGGCGCGAGGTCACATCCGATCGCTGTCCCGTCACCGGCCGCCATCTCTCCCGGCTCGTACGGCAGCGCTAACAGTAACGGCAGCTGGTCAAGTGTCGACGAGGAACTGTCGGCTGCCGAGCCGAGGTCGATAGCCGCCGAGCAGATCGATCCGCAAGAGGTGAAGACGTTCATCAGCACGATGGCGAAGCAAACCCTGGCGGAGCAGATTCGCAACAGGTGCGGCAACATCGTCGTCGAGTATCGCAAGTCGAGCGGCGAGCACGTAAGTGAACGAACGAATTAGTGTAAGACTTGTGCACGCGCGCATTCGCACGCACACACGCACGCACATACACGGTGTGCGCGATTACGTGGGCGCGTGTTCTTGCGCGCGCGTTTGCGTATGGGTATGTGTGAGCGTGTGTGCAGGAGCAATTTTGTGGAGATATAACGCCATTTTAGTATGACTAACATGGAACATATATGCGGTTCAGCTTAATATAAGGAGTATCATTGACCCAATTAATTGGTCATAAACGTCACATTATAGCTTACACTAATGTCTGCGTACACAGTTGACACCCGCTGATGAGCTACGCCGTCAACGCAGACGGGAGAAAAACAAAATGGCTGCGGAAAAGTGTCGAAAAAGAAAACGAGATGAGCAGTCCGCGCTTGAAGAGGTAGATATATATTTAAGCAAAAAAAATCGCCGATTCGTACCGTCGCTACAGATGCGCACTTGCAACGATGTTTCACTGCAATTTCTAATTGATATTTGCTACAAAAGTATATACACTTCAGTGTTCGTGCTCTACTTCTATTCGCTGCTCTACTTCTATTCGCTGCGATGCGCGTTCGAAGAACGCGGCGAGTATAAGCATTTCTGAATATCTGCTGTTTGCACGCAGAGAGAGAAACTGCTCGGCGAGGAGAACGACAAACTACAGGAGGAGGTGCGCAAACTTGAGAGGATGAAAAACGAGCTGAGCCTCATGCTACACAGCCATCTCCGGGAATGTCGTCTGCCGCGATCATGCAGCAATATCGCTACCGGTTGACAGGGCCACCTGCATCGCTCCAACAAGCGTATCGAATTTTATTTTCACACACTCGATGTGATGCACTCGCAGTGTGTTTGTGATACGCGACCAACTGCCCAAAGCTCGGGAGTCGTTGCCTGGTCACTATGATAATTAATACATGAAATGTAATTAATTAGGTCGTTATTGATCGTGGTCGAACGTTTACAGCGTTGCTCTCGGGAACCCACGCGACTACAAGATGACGAAAGTGAAAATCGGAGAATGGGAATGTCAAGTGATTGTGGCTGCTTAATTGGCGGTGCGTTAATGCCAGTGCGCGCACATGTATACGTACATGCTTGAGGGCGCACGGAAACTTGAAAGGGTGCGCTGCACTGAGATATAGGATGGCTGGCTAGTACGGCCGGTACGGGTGCCTGGTACGGGGGCATTTCAACAGACATGTATCGTACGATTTCTGATTTTAATGAGACCGGTGGTCGACAGGGTCATTGTTGGTGCCATTTGTTTGTATTAACATAGAGGTAATAGGTAGTGGTGCTAGCTAGTGAATTCTTCATAGTGCCTCCGTAGTGTGTGAGTGCCTAGTATGTGCAAAATTATTGAGTTTAACTGTGCAGGGCGCTTGCAATTATCTGTTATTGCGGTTATTTTTATTTACAATTTCACTGCAAATAACACAGAGGTCAATGATATATTCTTGATTCACAAATGGTTGTTATTTTATATTCAGTATAAGGTCGTTGGGGCGCTGGCACTCGGCAAAATCGCTGGAAGATTTGCATCGAGTCCCGTCATTTGTACTTTTGTAAGTCAGATTTCGTGCAACATTGTAGGCTACAGCGTTGCTTATGCTGGACTAAATTTCATCAACATCGTAATTTTCGATAGGTAGACTTCGCTTATATATTTATCCCGGGCCCAATTAACATGATCTCATTCGAAGTAACCTGTTTTGCTGTTGTAATTTTTTTCCTATTTATATGTATATATATATATATATATATATGTGTGTGTGTGTGCGGGTGGCTATGTGTGTGTTTATGCGTGCGTGCGTGCGTGCGTGAGTGCGTGCGTGCGTGCGTGCGTGCGTGTGTGTGTGTGTGTGTGTGTGCGTATGCATGTGTGCGCGTGTGTGCGTGCGTGCGTGTGTGTACTCACGTTATTTTAGGAGGAACATAGTTTGTGCGTACTGAATTTTTTCACTAGGAATGTCGTTACGGGCCTAGTTAATCGAGCGCACCGTTCTATCTTTGCGAAAGCACCCAACGCACACGTACAGTTGCCTAGAATATTGAGGTTTCTTTCGTTTTGTATGTGCGACGATCCAAATGCGAACGAGAATTTTTTTTAGATGGTTTGTCTTCTCGTCGCAGCATGTGAGTTGCTCTATATTTTTATGCGTTTGATCGAGTCGTTACTACATTCGAATGCTTGGGGGGTATATCCATTTTCCAAGGTTTGCTGTCATGAGTTTTGATTAGATCAGCTATGTGTGCAATAACTCTTCCGATACCCACATCCTACCTCCGCATCCAGACACACATGCATGCATGCACGCACGCACGCACGCACGCACGCACGCACGCACGCACGCACGAACGAACGCCGGAACGCGTGCAGGAACATACATGCCACGTGTAGGCCTAGTTGTTACGTATTACGTCTAAGTTAAGCATTGCATTTTGTATTGGGGAAACTCACCTGTCCAACTGAAGGTGACTACACTTCGCTGTGTATTCGTGATAATTTCCGCTGATATGTATTAATATATCATATAATATGTATGATATATAATTAATATATATAATATAATAGGTATATAATTTCTTTATTACTCCTTATATGGGGCATAGACCATGTTTGGTGCTATGAGCAATTGTGTATTTCCTATGTAGGTTAATTAGCACCGAACGTCTATAGGCCTACACCATCCTGATTGCGTTTGTCTAAACCAGCTAAATAATGTTTTTATAAGTCAGCTATAGTAACATAAAAGAAGCCATAAGGACTTCTTTCGTCGTCACGCCTACCTCTTATATCAGAGAGATCAGACTATTTAGTAAGGAGCTGGGTTCTCATATATTTAGCCATGTTCACATTTATGCATTTATATTCCGATTGTAATATAGATATTTCTGTTGTAATTTCTTTCATGACATCCAGTTACAAGGCAAATTCATTACAATAAGCCAGTCTGCTTTCTGTATCCGCGAATTTTTCGTCTGTATCGTATTCCTTATAAGTAAAACTCTCTAAATGTCATTCTTCGTAGGCCTACCAGTTCTGGATTAAGTCAATTTCATAATTGCACTACGTTATATCTAAAATAAAATATATCTGATTTCCCTAAATTATGTTCATAGGCTCTTTAAGTAATTTGTCAATAACAATTTATATTTTCGTATGCCACGACGAATGAAATATTTAGCGTGTTGCGATGTGTGTGTGTGTGTGTGTGTGTGTGTGTGTGTGTGTGCGTGCGTGCGTGCGTGCGTGCGTGCATGCGTGCGTGCGTGTACGTACGTGTCTGTTCGCGTGCGCGCGTGCGCGCGTGCGTGCGTGCGTGCGTGTACGTACGTATCTGTTCGCGTGCGTGCGTGTACGCACGTTTCTGTTCGCGCGCGCGCGTATGTGCGTGCGTGCGTGCGTGCGTGTACGTACGTATCTGTTCGCGTGCGCGCGTGTGCATGCCGGCGATGGATTGCTACGTGGCAGCCGGGGCGGGTATTCCGCGGGTGAGATCATCGCGGCAGCGATGCTGGGGAGCATTAGTCATGCTTCTATTTATGTGACTGAGCCATGCACGCACACCGCGGTCCTAGCAAACATCGCTGGCTGTGTGTACACGGTCGGGACCACGGCGAGTAGCAAATCTAACTATGCGCTATCGTTGGTCGGCTGGGCCGGGCGAGGGTGACGGTGAGAGGAACGGAGGGTCGATTGATTGTTTTTTTGTTTAAATTTTACCCAACTAGTTAAAACGTTTCTTAGAAAACCGAGGGATATTTTCATATCTGGCGCATGTTTTCGGGAATCGATGGGCTGCGTCGCAACAAGCACATATAAAAAGTGATAGTAAAGTGTCGTTGATGAATATGCCCGCGGTAAAACGGTGGCGCACAGTATAAACATTTCTGTTTATCACACCGGAACTTCTCGTAGCTCACGATGCAACCGCGCGTTCATGGCCACGTATACAGCCATGGAGCTCTAGGCGTTCATACAGACCGTTCTGTATGCCTACAACACAGAGACGGGGGTGTCAGGGTTTGATAGTAGGCTACATATGCGAAGCCAAGGAGTCCGACAGCAATTAAATCAGTAAGCATTTGACTCCAGGCTCGCGTGTATTTCGAACGCTGTAGGTATATATATATATATATATATATATATATATATATATATATATATATACATATTATATATACGTATATATATATATATATATA